AATGTTAGATGAACATAAAAGATCATAATCGAGCATTTTATTGGACACCTGACATATTTCGTTGTGTTCAACAATGTTTCAATTCCAAGCAAGTAATCAAGATTGACTATGTAAATTCTCACTTTGCATATCACTTCATTTAATCATGTCTCAGTTCAAAGGACAAGTAGAAATACTTAAAAAAGAAAATTTAATAGGTCTCAAGACTTACAAACACCATAAATGGTGATGATAAGAACTCTTACCTGAAAAAAAAGAAGCAAATGGCATAATTTGTTTGTTGACAAATCATATCCAATTAGACTAATGACTCAATCCTTTTAGATTTACGATTCAACAAGCTCCAACATTTACATGAACATAGGGAATCTATACTCGAGCGTTTCACTAAACGCTTGACACGTTCAGTTGTGTTCAATGAGCAACAATAACAACATTTCAACTTTAATTGGAATATAAAAATTCTTACTGTCCATGTCGCTCTATTTAAGTCCGTCCGATCAGTTCAAAGGGCGATCATGGAAAGTTCACGAAAACTTTCCTCGTCTGTCTCTGAGAACTGAGAATGTCTAGCAAGAGTAATCCTCTCACAAATAAGCCGGACCGCTCTCTCCCACCGCGTGCTGCCACCGCCACCGCCACTGCCACCGCCGCTACCACCCGAGCCACCAGTAGACTGATCAGTAGTAGTGTTAAAAGTTATTTGACTCATTTGAAAAGAAAAAAGCCTCAAAGAATAAGCTAAATCTGAGTAAACTTGACCAATTGGTCTACAACTGAAAGCTGCTAGTTTCAATACAAATGGCCATAGTAAACTAACAAGTAGTGGAGTACTTAAACTCTGAGAAGATGTGGCCATAAGATTAATTTTTCCAATTATCAGAAGATGTAAACCCATAATTTCTGATGAGTGAAGAGTATACTATATTCTTGAGAGGAAAATATGGGTGCAAGTGGAAATCAAGAACTGAAATGGCTTTGGAGAATATTTTGAGATATATAAAAAAGAATATATTGAAGAAGAAAGAATAGAGGGAAAAAGAGTTGGTGTAAACAAGAATCTTTATGCCAACATCGTTATATATAGTTTCTGAAACGGGAATTCTCCGTTATAAATGTTGATACAAGGTAAAAACAGCAAGAGTTTAAATTATAATACACTCTCGTTGTGCAGAGACGAATCCAAAATCTAAATTTAATGAGTTTAACTTTGCATCCGCCTCCATCGATGGGACATTATACTATTTTACACTATTAGTACAACTCACGATTTATAATATATTATTAATCTATTCTCCAATTTTTGAGAATTTGCATTTATGAAGAACTATAGTGTAAAATTTAAGCTAAATTCTAAAATCATTCTAAAGGTCATTAAAAAACTTTGGTCTTTGGAGTTGTTGGAGTTTCTAAATGATCTAACTTGGACTTGCATGCAAATTAATACGTAAAATGATTGTGTTCGAAACTTTGATCATTTCATATGATGGCAATTTGCCGTTAAGGAAGGGGAATCTTGGAGCATCGAAAAATTATCACCGTAAAATTTATATGTCACGAATTCGAGGCGTGAAAACAATAACAATATTTGTATTAGGGTAGACTATCTACATTACACCTCTTGAGGTGCGGTTCTTTCTCGGATGTTGTATAAATACCGAATATTTTATGCACTAGCAAATGAAATATCAAATGTACAACTTAATTCAAGCCATTATTACAGTAGTTGAATATTTCATGATTTTAAATTTCACTTGGAAGTCAATTTTGGATCTCAAATAATCGGTAATATCATATGACAGGCCTTTGGATATCACATCATGTGAAATGGGACAAATTTTTGGGGGCCTAGTCGAAATTTCCAACGAAGTTTCCTTTTTAAACTTCATTATAAATTTTGCTTTGGAATTTTGTGGCAATAGAGAGATGGGGACACGTGGCTATATGTCAGATTGCATCTGACAAAGTGAACCAATATGTGATGGCTATATATATTATATTATACACTAAATCCTTAATACTGTTCCATCTCATCCTTATTTTGAAATTGTATTTTTTGGATTAGAGTTCAGAATTCTAGCACGACTGATTTAATTTTTATTGGGTTCGTAATCTATCTTTTTATATTAGTTTAGTGATATTTAATGTATATATAAGATCTGAATTAAAGTTATTGGTTCCGAAAGAACCCAAACTAATATACTAGGTTTGCCCCTGAACTGAGGGTATCACCTAGAGTAGGGGCTGACGGAGTGTTGTTACGCTAGGTTTATTTAAACTCAGTACTTTAGAGGTGGAGCATAAATCATATATAAAAATATATTAAAATTGTAACAAATAATAGGTCTAAATTCATAATTATAAAAATACAATGAATTAAATGCTAAAAATCTTAAAATTTGAACCCATAAAATTTAAATTCTGAATCCGCCTCTGACCTAAACAAATGTCGTCACTTGTCGATGATATAAAGGAAACAAGTCAATACCTTTGACTCTTCAACTGAATTTTGTTTGCGCTCAACTTAATTATTATACTTACTGAATATTTATTACCTCTCATTAATTAGCATAAGTATTAGATAATTCTGTACATTAGACTTAAATACATTACCTAGCATATTTTTTGTATGTACTGAAATTTTAATTATAGTCTTTCATGATTATCACTCACATCATTAATTGCGAGATCACAGCCTTAAGTGCACTCTCTTCAAGTGAACTTTGTGTATTTTTGCAGAGAAAGCAATTCTAAGGCCATTTTGAATTTTGACAAGTCGAACATCCCATATATTAGAGTTAAAGAGATAAATGCTGGTATTTTTTTTGCATGAAAAACTGTTTTCCCAAGCTTTAATCTTGGAAAAAGAAATAGCGAAAATGGTGATTTTATGTCTGGCTACTTCTTGTAAAATTCATATATGTTGTCAATAAAATAATGCACTTAGTAGGCTGAGTTTTATTTATTTGATAAAAAAAGGTAGTTCATCCAAAGCAACGAGATGATGAGAAAGTGTGAAACTTGCAAGTCTCAATTATCTAAAAATGATAAAATTAGTTGAGTGCAAAAAAAGGATTAAATCTGTAAAAGTTTCCATTATAAATTGCTTTATATGATGTAATGATCTCTTTTTTCATTATAGAAAATCACCTCTTTAAGTTTGTTGGACCAAAAAGGTATAAATGTACTTTATGATTTGGATGTTTTAGTAGTCTTCTATGATCTTATAGCCTAACCAATCTACGTAATTAAAGTGATACATAACTTAGAAGGCTTACTCTTTTCTTTTTTTTTTTGGTAGGAGGGGAAACCCGCAACCGCTACAATCTCTGCCACAGTCTTTACCTTTCGGGTAAGGCTCAACTCAGAAGGCACTGATGGAGGATTCGATCCCACATCATTCATATGGATGACCACCCTCCAAACCAATTGGGCAACCCCGAAGGGTTTAGAATGCTTAGTTTTTGATTGCCTACTCTTGTTCGTTTGTTTGTTTTATTTTTTTTATTTTTTATTTCTTTATGAAAAAATGATACTGTATAATCACTCTTAAAATAATAGTCGAAAAAATATAAAATAATATATATATATATATATATATATATATATATATATATACATTATGTATGTTATATACAAAAAATATACAAATTTTATATACTTTTTTGGCTATCAGATGTAAATAGTTTTTAACGCAGATTAAAAATAATATTTGCGGCCTATTCTTTATTACTTTTTCCTTCGTATGTATTAGTTATATATATTACTATACCTCTTGTGCTTCAATGTTGTGGTTATGCTTGTTTGAATCTGGTCTATCAGAAACAACCTCTTTATCTATATAAGTTGGGGATAATGTTGCGTGCACACTATTCTCCTCAAACTCCACTTGTGGGATTTTACTGGATTTATTCTTGTTCTTGTTGTATGTAGTAATTATATATATTAAAGACTGCATTATTTTCAGAATTTCCAAAAGAAGATGATCTTGAATAAGCCAATGACTGAAAATAACATTTAAATATTATGTTTCTTAATTAATTAGTGGAATTGTCGCACTTGACAAATATTCTATTGCGGGGAGGACAAGGCAATTAGGCAAAGTTTCAATGAAAAAAATAATAGTACCAATTGGAGCATATCACTAATTCTAAAAAGAGTTATTGTCTTCTTCCACACTCGAAATTGAAATAATCAATAAAATTAATCAAAAATATGATGCAAAGCATAAGTTTACTTTCTATACACAAACAATATAGAAGGATTTTCACACTATTAAATTAGCTAAAAGATAATTACATAAAATGACTGATAACAAATTAAGCTAATCAACCCCAATACCAGGAGGACAATATGCAGCAGATCAACTATCTTGTTTTATGTAACAAATGAAAATAAAGGTATCTTTACACAAATAGTCGGTCATATTCATTGTTTCTATTTTCTAGTCATATACATAGATTATACATTGATTATACATAGTTATATATATATAATACATATATTATGCATATATTATACCTCTACTGACTATTTTTAGTTTAAGCGGTTGGATGACCGACAAGTTGAGTTAATTCTTCAAAAAATAAAAAAAAAATTCTTTACCTAAAGAACAAATTATTGACCAAGAGTTATTGGGGTAAAATTCACAAATAGTCACTTTTTAGTTCCACGAGGATTCAAATTTCATAGGCGCCACTTCATCTTGTTTAAATGGAACTACATGACAATGGTTATGTTTTGTAATTATAAGACGGAAAAGTGGTTGGTGGGCTATTTTTATGGCATTGGGTAACCGGCGATACTATTTATATTTGTTAGCCAAAAAGTATATAAAATAAGTATATTATATATATATATATATATATATATNGTTATTATATAGTTATATGAGCCGACATAGATGGGCCGGCTCTATCCCGAAATATGGGCCAGGCCCAGTTTATAGAGATGGGCTGATCTACTCTTCGTCGGATTGGTGGACGAATTCAGCCCAATTACCAAAGTTTAGTACTTACTTCGCACGCTAATGGCTGCTCCTCCTCCTCAAGAAGTAAAGAACAAATTCAACAATGGTGATATGATCCGTAAATTGACAGAGGGCGGAAGAATGACAAGGGGAGCAGCTTTATCGGAATGTATATTTTGCCAAATTGCTACCTCTTCCACTTCCACCACTCTCCTTCACTCCGTAAGATCACAATTTCACACACACACACAGAGTCGCTGTAATTATTTTTTTTAGCTTTAATTGATTTTTTCAGGATGATAAAGTTGTTGAATTTCACGCGCGCGCACACACATACACAGTAATTTGAGATTTTGTAGCTTTAATTTGATTTTTAGGGATGATAAAGTCGTTGCATTTCACTCACACAGAGTAATTTAATTCTTTTGTAGCATTAATTATTTGATTTTTGGGGATGATAAAGTCGTTGCATTTCTCTCTCTCTCTCTCTCTCTCTCTCTCTCTCTCTCACACACACACACACACACACACAGAGTAATTTAACTTTTTGTAGTTTTAATTTGATTTTGTAGGATGATAAAGTTGTTGCATTTCGAGATATTAATCCCTCTGCCTTCAGGTTCTTCAAATTTCATTAATTCTTTTTCCTTTGTCTTTCACCTGAATTTTTATTTCAATCAATTACTAACACGAACTAGTTGAACTCGGCTTTAAAAATCTTCTGAATCTTTATCATAATTTGAGCACTTCTCTCCTTCATGCCGGTTTGGGCCAGAGTATGCTCTGTGTGAAGCTCACAAATAGGAGTTTTGAATTCAGTATTTAATTTATTGGAGAAAATTATGATCATTTTCTGATGCTTCTTAGTTAATTGATGAGAATAAACCTTTCTTGTGAATAATTTTTTGTACGTTCAAATTTAGTTGTTCACAGTGTTTTTGAAAGCGCAAAGCCAAAAAAGCACAAGGTCCATGAGGCTTGAAGCAAAAAACAGAAGTAAAGCAAGAGGTGAAGTGGACAATGTACGAAAAATTAACAAATATCAAACATACATGAATATAGTACTATATCAATTAAATTGCGATTAAAAGAATTAATTTCAGCATCCAAGGTATAATGATGCCGGCATTTATCCAATCTCCTGAACATTGAGATTCTAAGAACTGACCACTTCTCATTTGGATCACTGTGCACGTCATTGTTTGAGGCACACATTTCTTTGAATCGCATGGCGTCACCCATGCAATGAAAAACGATGGGTGTTCATAGATGCTGTGAATCCTGTTTGCTGAGTTCCTTTTTTTAATTGCATTTTTAGCAATAACTTATCCAATTCATCATACTGAATGATATTGGCTGAGGGATAGAGGGATACTTATTTCCTGGGTTTGTAGTTAATTAGTACTCCACCAAATAATTTTCTAGGAGGTGTGACAGAGGGCTATGCAAGGATTGTAAGGTTATTCCGGGTGAGATACTCACGACGCAGCATAGGCTCTTGGTGATGGATGTTGGTATTATGTTAAAGAGAAGGAAAAGGTTCGACCGAGGGCGACCGAGAATCAGGTGGGGTGCCTTGACTAAGGATAAAGCCCAGGAGCTGGAGGGGCGGTTGTCGGCTATGGGAGCCTGGAGGAACAGTGGTGACGCGAGCATTATGTGGTCGACGACAACAAACTGTATAAGGGAGGCTGCGAGAGAGGTGTTAGGGACCTCGACGGGCGTCTCTGGCAGGCACAAAGGAGACTGGTGGTGGAATGAAGTGGTCCAAGTTAAACTGGAAGCGAAAAAGATAGCATACCTAAAATTAGTAGGGAGCACAAGTGAGGAGGAGAGGAGAGCGTACATGGAGTGGTATAAGGTAGCTAGGAAGGAAGCCAAGCTGGCAGTCACGGAGGCTAAAACTGCAGCCTATGGCCGTATGTACGAGGAACTGGGGGAAAAAGGCGGAGAGAAGAAGTTATGCCGGCTGGCGAAGACGAGAGAGAGGAAGGCCCGGGATTTGGACCACGTGAGATGCATCAAGGACGACGATGGTAGAGTATTGATGGAAGATGCTCAGATTAAGAGGACATAGCGGACTTACTTTCATGAACTTCTGAATGAAAAAGGGGATCGGGATATTGTGCTAGGTGAACTGGAGCATTCCGAGAGTCACCGTGACTTTAGGGACTGCAGGCGCATCGAGGTTGAGGAGGTCGTGGGAGTTATGCGTAAGATGAGTAGGGGCAGAGCGACCGGGCCAGACGAAATTCCGATTGAATTTTGGAAGTGTGTGGGTAGAGCAAGCTTGGAGTGGCTGACTGGGCTGTTTAATGTTATTTTTAGGACGAAGAGGATGCCGGCAGAGTGGAGGTGGAGTACAGTGGTTCCGTTGTATAAGAACAAAGGTGATATCTAGAGTTGTAACAATTATAGGGGTATCAAATTATTGAGTCATACCATGAAAGTTTGGGAGAGGGTGGTTGAAGCGAGGGTGAGGATGAAAGTGTCTATATCCGACAACCAGTTCGGGCTCATGCCGGGTCGTTCTACTACGGAAGCTATACACCTTATTAGGAGGTTGGTGGAACGGTACAGGGAGAGGAAGAAGGATCTGCACATGGTGTTTATTGATTTAGAGAAAGCGTACGACAAAGTTCCTAGAGAAGTTCTCTGGAGATGCTTAGAGGCAAAAGGCGTGCCGACTGCCTACATTTGGGCAATTAAGGACATGTATGATGGGGCTAAGACTCGGGTTAGGACTGTAGGAGGCGACTCTGAGTAGTTTCCAGTTGTTATGGGGTTACACCAAGGTTCTGCGCTCAGCCCGTTCTTATTTGCCCTGGTGATGGGCGTGTTAACATACCATATTCAAGGGGAGGTGCCATGGTGTATGTTATTCGCCGATGACATAGTTCTGATTGATGAGTCGCGAACCAGTGTTAACGAGAGTTTGGAGGTCTGGAGACAGGCCCTTGAGTCTAAGGGTTTCAAGCTGAGCAAGACGAAGACGGAATACCTGGAGTGTAAGTTCANGCCATGATGTATGGAGTTGAGTGTTGCCCTGTTAAGAACTCACATATCCAGAAGATGAAAGTAGCAGAAATGAGGATGTTGAGGTGGATGTGCGAACACACTAGGATGGATAAGATTAGGAATGAAGATATTCGAGAGAAGGTGGGCGTGGCTCCCATTGATGACAAGATGCGGGAAGCGAGACTCAGATGGTTCGGACACGTACAAAGGAGAAGCCCAGATGCTCCGGTAAGGATGTGTGAGCGGATGGCTTTGGAGGGCGCGAGAAGAGGTAGAAGACGACCTAAGAAGTATTGGGGAGAAGTGATCAGGCAGGACATGGCGAGACTTTAGATTTCCGAGGACATGGCTCTTGATAGGAAATTGTGGAGGTCGAGTATTAGTGTTGTAGGTTAGGAGATAGTTGAGTCTCCCTTACTTCGTACTTTTGTGAGGTTAGTCTGGTAGGGTTTTTGTCGATGTCAACTAGTGGCAATGTTGTGTCTTACTACTCTTTTGTTTTCCATAGTGCCGGGTCTATGTATTGTCTATCGCGTTTGTTTTGCATCTATTTTCTCATTTCTATGATGTTATTTTTCTTATGGTTTCTATTGGTGATACTGATATTGTCTCTTTTTGTCTTCTTGAGCCGAGGGTCTTTCGGAAACAGCCTCTCTACTCTCTCGGGGTAGGGGTAAGGTCTGCGTACACACCACCCTCCCCAGACTCCACTAGTGGGATTTCACTGGGACGTTGTTGTTGTTGTTGTTGTGTGTTGTGCGTAGATGCCCATGTTATTCCCTTTTTTTTCTTTATGTCAAACATGGGATATATAAATGTTAGCTAGGGCAGCGTGTGACATTTAGACACATCATTTAGCTATACTAGAGTACAATTTAGCAGATTCAACTTCCGATTCTCAAGTTGGTATGACAATTTTTTTGGAGTAAAAGATTTATTCTTTTCTTGAGACTCGTATGAAATCAAACTAAGTCATTAAAATGGGAGGGAGGACTATGAATCTTGAATGTTAAGCATAGTCATTAGAAGTGGAGGAGGGCTATGAATCTCATACTTATTTTTCAATGCTAGTACTGCTTGCCTTTTGATTGGCATATTATTTTGGTCTATCAAATATATTTACCATGAGGTTAAACAAAATTTAGGGATACTTTTGTACAGTTGTATTCGTTCTCCATAAGTTTTGAAAACTTTCAATCGGTATAGTCAGTGCAATGTTGGAATATGTCTTAACTAACATATTACATTGATATGTGATGTCAGTCATCTATATGCACTTCTGTCATTAGCATAGAATGTAAACTTGCAAAACCCTTTGCAGTTATCTCCTGTTAATAAGTTGTTTGAACGCAAAATCTTGATAGGCATTACTTGGTAATTCCAAAACTGCACATTCCAACTGTCAAAAACCTTCAGAGAAGCCCAGAAGATTTCTCCTTGGGTAAATTAAACTTTCGGAAGCATACTTACCACTTCATTTTCTTTTTAAATCCTTAAGCTACTTTATTTCTTTGTATTCACACTTCTAACTTGCAGCTTCTATTTCTTACAGTGAGTCACATGTTAGATGTCGGGAAGAGTCTGTTACATAGGGATGCACCTCAGTCCAAGCATTACAGGTAAAGGACTTACATCTTCAGTTGCTCTACTGAAAACTTTCTTCAATGACTTTGCAGAATAAATGCTGGGATCTAAACCAGTGCTTAATCCAATGATTTAAGGACTTTGTTTGTGATTCTAGCTTTTTTCTTTATTTCTTGTTCCTTATTGTATGACACTTGTATTGAACTTTTGGGGCCAATCAACATAACCTTCTGTGGATGAAGAAATACATTTACAATCTTAAGCTGCTAGTTGTAAGTACTGACTTGTGACTACAAATAGAGAAGACTGCCGCAACAATCTAGTCGATTCTCTCTAACATACAAGTCATAACCAATATATATTTCTAAGTATCCTCACATGTTTTTGATATTTTAAGAATCTTACTGTTACTTTATATTTTGGCATGCTTAACATAAAAAAGGCTTGTACCTGGAGAGGAATCTTTTTCACTCATATTTTTCCATTTTCTCAGATTTGGTTTTCATCAGCCCCCATTCAACAGTGTTGATCACCTCCACCTCCACTGCTTTGCACTTCCTTATACTCCAAGGTACCCTTTTCTCTACATGCTTAAACTGCCTTGGATACTCAAGATATTACCTTGTCCAAAATTTTGAATTTCTTGGAAGTATTGTATATTCCTTTTTCTGATTTTAAAACATTGAACAGCTGGAGGTGTATAAAATACTTGTCATTGGGGCCACTCGGTGGATTTATTGAAGCTGAAAAGCTTTTGGAGAGAATAAAGCCACAAATTCCTCATCACTCATCTATGTAACTGTCTGTAAATTTGTGGTTTCTAATTAAAATTGGCAAAAGTGTTAGTAATCTGCTAACTATTCTTCATCAATATATACATGTGTAAAATTCAGTCATTAACCTTGAGAATGATCTTGTTACAGAACCTAATTATTCAATTATATCTTTTGATTGAAAAATCAAAGTTGGATGCAAGAACTTCTTTAAGTTCCACACTTTCCTTTCATGCCTCGGGTATTTCATGCTTCATACCAGAATCGCTATAAGAATAATAATCTCCTGTGGAATTGAAAATGGCTTGTCTGCATAGTTAATTCTGTCTTTTAAATGAGTATATTAAAGGGATTTCTGTTTCCGTGTTTGTTGCTTACTTGCTTTTGGTAGCAGGTCAGTCCTTGACCTTATTATAATATTGACTACTGTTTTTTCTTCTTTTTGCGAGAAAACCCTGCTTGCAATTATTCAGAATCTCTTACATTTCACAAGTAAACGATGAGATGTGTATATGGATTTGGGTTCATTAGCATTGGTCAAAATAAATTGCAAATACTGTGTCATGTCAAACCTATGCTGCTTGCCCTTTAATGTCCAGAGAAACCAAAAAACTGGAAAATCTTGTTCACATCCTAGCTTTATCTATTTTTATTTGTGTTTTGCTTTGTACTCTAGGATGGTAAATGTGTCTTCCTGAGAGCAAGTGTAGATCTATTATAACCTAAATTGTTTTAAGTTGTTACTTTAGTAAGAGCAGGTTCAGCTCGGTCTGTGTGTATCAGGGGAAGTCTCATTGATAGAAGTGGTGCTTTAGTGATTTTTCAGATTTTGAAACATGATTTTCCGAGTCAGCTTCAGAGATCCTCTTTTAACTTACCCATAAGCAGTACATATCAAGATTACTCATGGGCATTTATTGCAGATTTTGCATCTCCTTTTTATGTGCAGTCCAATACAATTCTCCCCAAATTATTGTCGTATGTTATCCGTCCAACATGCAAATTTTTATGAACGTGATGGACCATTGCTATGGGTCGTAAATTTTCATGTGTTAATAATGTCCACGCCATCTTCATGAATTCGGGTGACGGGGTCCGAATCGCCTAAAGTTTTGCTGGTCCATTAGAAACGACCTAATTAACAATAGTCATTGCTTTGCCAAGATTGTTTCTCGTTTTTGGTGTTTTAGGGTCGTAAAATAGGAATTCATCACGACTTTTAATTTTTCGTATGATAATGCTCGCGCCATCTTCATAAATTTGGGCAACGGGCTCCGACTTGCCTAAAATTTTGTGGGCCCCACCGACTTCGACATGAGTTCCTCGTTTTTAGTATTTTAGGGCCATAAAATATGAATTCAGGACAATTTCGATTTTTCGTGTGCTAATGTCCACACCATCTTTGTGAATTCGGGCGACAGGCTTCGAAATAGCCTAAATCACTATGAGTGTTCTTCGTTTTTTGGCATTTTAGGAGCATAAAAAAGGAATTCAGGACGATTTTTAATTTTTCGAGTGTTAATGTCCACGCCATCTTCATGAATTCGGGCAACGGGCTCCAAATCGTCTAAAATTTTGTGGGCCCATCAGAAACAATGTAATGAACAATAGTCATTGTTTTGCTATGAGTGTTCATCATTTTTTGGCATTTTAGGGGCATAAAATAGAAATTCGGGGAGATTTCAAAATTTTCAGGTGCTAATGTCCATGCTATGAATTCGAGCGATAGGCTTCAAATTGTCAAAAATTTTGTGAGCTTATTAGAAACGACCTAATGAATAATAGTCTTCGCTTAGCCATGATTGTTCCTCGTTTTTTGGCATAGGGCCATAAAACAGGAATTGAGGATGATTTTTAATTTTTCACGTGTTAATAATGTCCACACCATCTTCATGAATTCAGGCGACCGGCTCCGAATCGCCTACAATTTGTGGGTCTATCAGAATGATCTAATGAACAATAGTCATTGCTTTGCCATGACCGTTTCTCGTTTTTTGGCGTTTTGGGCCATAAAACATGAATTCAAGATGATTTCTAATTTTTTGTGTGCTAATGCCCACGTCACCTTCATGTATTTCGACGACGGACTCCGAATCGCCTAACATTTTGTATGCCCATCAGAAACAACCAAATGAACTTAGTCATGGTTTCGCCATGACTGTTCCTCATTTTTTAGTCTCTTAGGGCCATAAAACAAGAATTTATGATGAATTCCAATTTTTCGTGTGCTAATATCCACGTCATGTACATGAATTCGGTCGATGGGCTTTAAATTGCCTAAAATTTTATAACCCATCAGAAATGATCTAATGAATAATAGTCATTGCTTCGCTTTGACTGTTCCTCAATTTTGGAGTTTTAGGGTCATAAAACCGGAATTCAAGACGATTTTAATTTTTTGTATGCTATTGTACATGTCATCTTCATGAATTCGGGTGGCGGGCCTGAATCGCCTAAGATTTTTTGGACTCATGAAAAATCACCTTATGAAAAATTGTCATTGATTCGCCCTGACTGTTCCTCATTTTTGGGGTTTTAATGCCATAAAACAGGAATTCCCGGCGATTTTTAATTTTTCGTGTGTTAATGTCCACGCCATCTTCATGAATTCGGGCGACGGATTTCGATTCGCCTAAAATTTTGTGGGCCTATCAGAAACGACCTAATGAACAATATTCATCGCTTTGCCATGGTTATTCCTCATTTTTGGGTGTTTTAGAGTTATAATATAGGAATTCAAGACAATTTCCAGTTTTTCGTGTACTAATATCCACTCTATTTTCATGAATTCAGGTGATGGGCTCCAATTTTCCTATAATTTTTTGGGCTCGGCAGAAACCACCTAATTAACAGTAATCATTGCTTCGCCATGACCGTTCCTCATCTTTTGGCATTTTAGGGCTATTAAACCCATCTTCATAAATTCGGGCGACATGCTCTGATTCTCCTATAATTTTGTGGGCCAGTCAGAAACTACCTAGTGAACAGTAATTATGGCTTTGCCATGACCGTTCCTCGATTTTGGCATTTTAAGGCCATTAAACAGGAATTCAGGATGATTTTCAATTATTTGTATGCTAATATCCACGCCATCTTCGTGAATTGGGGTGACATGCTCCGAATCGCCTAAAAACTTTTGTGGGCCCATCAGAAACGACCTAATAGACAATAGTCATTACTTCGCTATGACTGTTCCTCGTTTTTTGGTGTTTTTAAGGCATAAACAGTAATTCAGGATGATTCAAATTTTGTGTGTGTTGATGTGCACACCATCTTCATGAATTCGTTCGACGAGCTCCGAATTCCTTAAAATTTTATGGGTCTATCCGAAATGACCTAATGGATAATAATCATTGCTTCGCCATGACCGTTCCTCGTATTTATTTAATGGCGTTTCGTAGTCATGCAATATAAATTTGTGATTGTATCTACTTTTTCGTGTGTATTAGTACATGATGAGTTTGTAGAATTTTTTTTGACGGACTCCGACTGATTTAAAATTTCGTAGGTCCATAAGAAACAATCTAGTGATAAACGCATTACTTCGCCATGACTTTCAGGTTTATTTAATGGTGTTTTGTAGTTATGCAATACGGATTTGTGATTATATCTGCTTTTTCGTGTGTATTAGGAAACAACCTACTGACGAATCCTCATTCCTTTGTCATGACTTTCGATCTTATTTTATAGCATTTCGTGGTCATGCAACAAAAAATTGTGATTACATCCACTTTTTTGTATGTATTTCTACATGTTGATTTTGTAAATTTTTTTGTACAGACTCCGACTGGTCTGAAATTTCTTAGGTCCATAGGAAACTGCCTAGTGACCAGTACTCATTGCTTCGACGGGACTTTCTGGTTCATTTATAGCGTTTCGTGGTCATGCAACATGAGTTTATGATAATATCTTCTTTTCATATGTATTGGTATTTTCTGATATTGTAGAATCTTTTTGACGTACTTCAATTGGCCTGTAATTTTGTATGTCCATAGAAAACGGTCTAGTAACCAATACACATTGCTTTGCCATGATGTTCGGGGTTCATTTTATGGTGTTGTGTGGTCATTTAATACGAATTTGTGATTATATCTACTTTTTTTGTATGTATTAGTACATGCTGATTTTGTATAAAAAAATTCACGGACTCTGATTGGCCTGAAGTTTTGTAGGTCCATTGGAAATGACCTAGTGAACAATACTCATTGCTTTACCGTGACTTTTGGGTTCATTTTATGTTTTTTCGGGTCATACAACACGGATTTATGATTATATTTACTTTTTCATGTGTGTTAGTACATGATGGTTTTGTGAAATATTTTATGAAATCCGATTAGCCTGAAATTTCTTAGGTCCATAGGAAACGACCTAGTGACTAATACTCATTGTTTCATCATGACTTTTGGGCTTATTTATTGCATTTTGTGGTCATGCAATATGAATTTGGGATTATATGTACTTTTTCGTGTGTATTAGTAAATGTTAATTTTGTAAAAAAAAGAACTTGACACACTATGATTGGCCTGAAATTTTATAGTTCCATAGCAAACGGTCTAGTGACCAATACTTATTGCTTTGCTATAACTTTCAGGTTCATTTTATGGCATTTCGTGGTCATGCAATACAATTTTGTGATTTTATCAACCTTTTCATGTGTACTAGTATATGCTAATTTTGCAGAATTTCTTTTACAGATATTTCGATTAGCCTGAAATTTCGTAGGTCCTAAGGAAATGACTTAGTGACCAATATTCATTATTTTTCCATATTTTGGGGTTCATTTTATGCCGTTTCATGATCATGTAGTACGAATTTGTGATTATATCCACTTTTCATGTGTATTAGTACAAGTTGTTTAGAATTTTTTTGACGTACTCCGATTAGCCTAAAACTTCGTAGGTCCTTAGGAAACATCCTAGTGACCAATACTCATTATTTTGCCATGGCCTTCGGGTTCATTTTATGGCCTTTCATGGTCATACAATACAAATTAATGATTATATTTACTTTTTCTAGTGTACTAGTACATACTAATTTTGTAAAAAAAATTGACTGACTCCTGTTAGCCTAAACTTTTGTAGGTCCATTGAAATGACGTGCGGCCAACATTCATTACTTTGCCATACTTTGGAGTTCATTTTATAACATTTCGTGATCATCCAATACAAATTTATGATTATATCCACTTTTTCGTGTG